ACATGCATAAAAGAAACCTAGACACTAAACAGACACTGTTTAACCATCAAAAACTTCACACTTTTTCTTCACCAGACTATTAATAGGACCAGTTCTCTGGATGCATTCAACAATTCCTTCTCTAAAGAAGATCTCAGAGAGAACTCTTCCAAAATGTACGAAGGGTTTAAATTCGTTTCTGAAGAGTGTGATAGATTTTTGCAGAAAATTGAAGATAGTCTGTGGCAAATTTATCATAATATTATTTACCAACAAAAATAGAAGAAGTCGATCGTTAAGAGACATGATATCTTTGTGAACTCTTCTAGGACGAAAATTTGTTAACAAAAACTTAAACCAACTTTTTGGAATGGGAAGAAGAGTTTCGATATTGTTAGGCTCGTAACTAGATGTTGAGTCATGGAGGGTAGCACGCTCTTCATCAAAAAGATATTGACTCTTAACATGCTCAACAGTAAAGCCAACATTCTCACAACCAGTAGCAAGGACAAATGAAAAGGGGATAATGGTTATGGGAATACTGAAGACACGGGAAGCAATGGAACAACCTTCACTCACAATGTAGGCATGTTTCCAGAAGTATTTGACAAGGTTTGTGTAGATAGGTTTATCAATGACTTTTCTGTGGGATCAAATTTTCCAAAGTTAAGGCAAATCTTGGTAATCAATGACTTTTCTGTGGGATCAAATTTTTTATTACTTGACACAAACCATGCACTTGTGGTTCACACACTTCATAACACGTTAGTTCGGGAGGGAAATATATGTCATTTACAACATATACAAAATAAATTTATCAATGTTAGAGATACCGAAATCCTATTAAGTATTGAACAAGTTAAAAATAAAATATGGAAGTAAAACATACAACGTTAGTGGTGAAAATTGTGTAAAATCTACAAGGGAAACATCATGAATTGGACCACACAAATGAAACATTCTGAAGTACCAATTTTTTTACACTAGACTTAAAATTTGATATATCGGAATTGTTAAAATATCTAGAAGTTTTTTATCTATACCAGATTTTTCAAAATATTCGATAGAAGATATAAGTTTTCCCATAAATATCGTTTTTTCTTTCAAAAAAACTAATATAAATGTTTGGATTTTTAAAAAGTGCGGTATAAATGCAACAAATTTCTAGAAAATATCAGATTTTTCAGAAACATGCCGTAAAAATGTAACATATATCTAGAAAATATCAGTTTTTTAAAAAAAAAATGGTAAAAGCTCATATCAATTTTTAAAATATCTAATAAAATTGAATAAATTCCATCTTTTTTAAAATTTTTCGTATCAGATTTTTCTGCTTAACTATCAATTTTTTTCCTCATTTTTTTACCAGTTATTGTAAATTTATAATATAAAAATATAAATATCTCTGGAAAATCTAATATTGCCATTCGATAAAAATCCAACACCTATTAATTTTGGGGTTAAATATTGTCCTAAAAATGTTTTTTGTGACCAATTTGATATATAGTCTAAATAGAACTATTATTTTCATTTTGAAGTCTTTACGGTTTCCACACATGCCTTGTTTTTCCGAAATATTTTTCTATTGCAATCAATTGTCAACTTTTGGTTTCTAAAAAGTTAACTATTTTCTTCTCCATAACTATAAAGCAAGGTTGTAACGTCCGTAATTTAATTAATTATTTAATTAAATTATTTTTGAAATAATTGTGAAGAAGTGTTATTAAATTGGATTTATTTTATTAAATGGAGAAATAATAATATATTTGAGGTATTATATTATTATGTGAAATAATGTTAGAAGCTAATATTATTTAACATGAGCCTATATGGTGTGAGTGGAAATAATAAGGGGGTGTAAGTTTTGAGCCCAATAAGGAATAATATAATAATATTAGGTTATTTTATTATTTGTTGTTAGAATAGAAGGAAGAAGCAGTAAGAAGAGAAATAAGGATTGTGAAGAACGTGAAGCTGCTGGATTTTGAAGGAAACGGCAAGAACAAAGATTCAACCCGGAAATTGTAGAGCGACCTTCGATCCAAGGTAAGGGTGGGATTCTGACTTTATAAATGGGTTCATGATGTTTGATATGTGGGGTTAGAAGATTGTTGTTTTTGTTATTGAATTGAATGATGTATGATGAATATTGATGAATTCTCGATGGATAAATGATGTTATGATGCTGTGTAATCGATGTAGTATTGTAAGTTAATGTTAAGTGATGAATTATCATGGTTATGATAAGGTTTTTAGGGCTGTAGTATAATTCCCGTAGCAAAATACAGTAGAAAACGCAAAAAATTATGCAGAAAATCGCAGGATGCGTCGACCTCAAACCGGATGAGTCGATGCAAAGAGGCTATTAGACTCAGGATGAGTCGATGCATGGAGGGTTTGCGTCGATACATGATGAGTACAAGACTCAGGATGAGTCGACGCAAAGAGTGCATGTGTCGATACATGCTGTATTGAAAGCCAGAATGAGTCGATCCAAAGGAGGATGTATCGACTCATAGTATACATATGAAGCAGGATGAGTCGATCGAAGGAGTTTTGTGTCGACCCATACTGATTAATTTTGGCATAATCAATTTTGAATTGCTGTAACTTGAGTTGTAGGATGCTGTTTGAGATGCCGTTCGAAGCGTTGATTAGCTAACGCGATGAACTCTATTCTAGAGGATTAAAATGATGGATAAGAAGTGTAATCCCAATAACTAATTTAGAATTTAGGATTAATTCCCGTAGATGACCGTTATGCTGGATTTTGGACAGAATGAGGAATTTTGAGATGTTAGAGGCTGCTGTTAGAATTATGACAGTAGGATTTATTGACAATAATGATGTACAGTAGCTGAATAACAGTATGGCTTACTGTAGTATTGATATATAGTTGAGTTATTAGTAAGATGTGGTTATTAAAGTTGTGTTTAATAATTATGATGAACCAATGACGTTTGATAAATAAGTAATGTTTAATAAATTATTTTGAGATGTTTCTGAGATGTTGCTATTTTGAGATGATTGAGATGTTGTTGTTCCGAGATGATTGAGATGTTGTTGTTTGAGATAACCGAGGTGTTGTCGTTTTGAGATGATTGAGATGTTGTTGTTTTGAGATGTTGTTAACTGAGTGTGTTATTACATTCATGTTGAGTCACATACATTGCATTTTTTGAGATGGAGCTTATGCTCGTTGAGATGGTCCGGATTGACAAATTTTGAGATGAATGTTATGCCTTGTTGATGCCTCTATTAATTGGCAGATTAGATTTTTGAGATGGGAGTTCTACTCCAATGGTACCACATGCATTTGCATAGTTTTGAGTCGCATCATATGAATGAATAATGAGATGTATTTGATGTTGATGAATGAGTATATATGTTGTAATTATTGTTGATTATAAGATGAGAAGTGGTGATATTATTGATCTAATTTAATATATTAATTATCATGCGCTTTATTATATTGTTAGATATCTCACCCCTTCTGTTTGAATGTTGGCCCCGTGTTGGTAACGTGCAGGTAATCGAGAGTGAAGACCACATACCTTTAATAGATCGAGTCAGTGTCACTGCTCTGATATGTAACACTCAGGGGGATGAACGCTTGCTGATTTTTGATTGCTGATTTTTAGTTGTTGAACTTTAAATTGTTTATTTACTAAATATGAGATGTTTCGAAGTTGCTGTTTTATTTAAAGATGTTATTAAAGAATTCCGCTGCATAGTTGTTGAATATTTAATGAAAGATGTTATGTTGTTGGTTCATCCGATATTTTGAAAAAGTATTATATATCCACGATGAATGCAATGAATTTGTTAGAAGAATTTGTGACGTCCCGATTCATTTGTATGATTGAAATTTTATAACTCTGATTTATTTTGCATAATTTGCTTGAGGTAGAATTGGAGTGTTCCAAATGTCACTTCTATTCTGCTTCAAAGACTGTTATCTCTTAACCATCATCAGTGCTAATCTGGTTTCAAGATTCCTTTTCACTTCTGCTTACACACCCTTCACTTCCCTCTTTCTGATTTTTTTATTATTTATGATCTGGTTTATATGGTTTAGCATTTTTTTACAATATAACTTTGAATTTTATATGTTATGGATTTTTTTTTTAGCTTATGGTTTAGCATCAACTTTTTTAATGGTTTGACACATTTCTCTTATTCAAAGGAATTACACCAAATGCGTTATATTTACAAATCTACACACATATTTGTTTTGCAATTATTTTAATCAAATTTAATTATTTCTTAAAAGAAACATTTTTCATATACTTATGTTATAATCAAATTTAAATCCGTTAATACAACATTGAAAATATGAAACGGAAAAATAAAATTATTAATTTAAATATTAAAGTTATAATTTATTGAACATATTTTAAAAAATATGTAAAAAACCTTATAATAGATTATGATAAGAGAGTGAATATGTATTTTAATATTGTATTCTCTATTATAAAAATTAAAAGACTAAATTACTAATTTATTTAATACAATATTAAATAATTTTTAATTTTTAATTATTCTACTCATTTATATTTATTTAATTTTATTGAATTTATATTGATTTAATTTCATTGAATGATGTTTTATTATGTATTAAATATTTTTAAAATAGATGAATAAAATCACTCATTCATCTTATAAATAACTCAAATATTAATGTTTAGAATTTATTTATTTTTATTTAATGATTTGACCTTATATTATCAATTTTTAATATTTTAATTTATTAAATTGAAATCTTCCAATTACTCTTCAATATACTGTTTTTGAATTAATGATAATATAATTAAATCTTTGACATTCAATTTATATAATTAAAATAATAATAGAATAAATGTGTTTATTGATATAAATAAGGGAAAATTAGTTATTATTTGAGTGAAGTGAAGTCGTTGTTACATCTCAATCGAATTCGTCAAGAATTTCTGAAAATCTAACCAACTTCATCACTCTTTCTTCACACAAACTCCAGATCCATTGTTTCTTTCTCTTATTCAATGGAAAAAATGAACAAAGCCTTTGAGAAAGTGAAAATGATGGTAGGAATGGAAGTCGAAGACGAAGAGCAACAAGCTGCAGCGTTGGACAACGAAAGCTCCTTCGCTTTCATGGATGATTTCAACCGCAACTGCACTTTGACTACCAAACAGGTCCTTTTTTCTCTTCAAATTCAATCCTATTTGCTTGCTTTGTTTCAGAAACAGAAAATAAACCTAGCGATCAGCTCAAATACGAATTGAATTAGGTTTTGATTTTTTAACCTAGATTATGCATTAACCTCCTCAAGTGTTATTCCTTACCCAAATTTATGTCATCATGAGATTTTTGTTTGGTAATTGATTCATTCAACATGTTTCTATATGTATATCTTGCACAATTTTATTGATTAACTTTCTGTTTGTGATCAGAGACTTTATGGTTTTGCCATATGCTTTGCTACTGGAGTAACCTGTACACTGTTGGTAAGTTTGATAGCATTTTTTTCCTTCTAGTTTAGAATTTCGATAAATAAAGATTATGTATTCTCTCCAGATCAATGTCGAATATTCATTTAAAGATTGAGCCGTTCTTTAAATATGGTCTCACACGATTTATTGAGTAGCTGCGAGATTTTGACTATATTTGTTTGCAATTTTTGTCTGAAGTTTCTTGAGCACTTCATAAGATAGTTAGTGTCACGCGAAGAAAGATGGTCTCTCTTTTCTTTTTAGAAAAAAAACAACTTGTATGCTAATGTGTTCTTTTTTCGTCTATGGTCATGCAAATTATGGTAGGTATCGTGTTACTTTTCCTCTCATGTTTACACGATTGTCACAAACACAACTTACAAAGCTTGTCATTTTGCCGAAGTTAGATCTGAAATATCTTCTACTTAATATTATTAAGTTCACTATCCAAAATTTATATGCGGCTTCTACCCATTACTAAAATGAACCCCAATGCCTGTTGCCAGTGTAGGCTCTAAGCAAGTCAGCTTAGTTAAGCCTTATTACTGTGAGGGGATACGATGTTTCTACAACTTCAACCTATAATCACCAATATCTTTACATAAGACAGTGACCTTTACCACTGTTTCAAGTGCACCTTCCACTTCTGACCAACTCTTAGTGCAATAAATATATAATGTTCATGTTGATATTGGATAATGTAATTATAATTTGGAGGTTTAATTGGTTTCTCTAATTATGCTGCCTTTGATGCTGTTCACCACTAGATTGTACGTTGTGATTTATTCTAACTTCATTCAAGAAGTTAATGATACTTGCAACTAGTGTTGAGCATGGGTAATAACTACTATACTTTCAGATTTTGTTACTCAAATTTAGCGTTGGGTTATAATGGATGAAATGGAAACTACGTACTATATGAGGATAGTGAACATGTTTCATATTGATTTCTCACCTTTGTCTTGTCAATGTGATGGGAACATGAATTATTTTACTACCATTTTTAATACTTAATCAATAAGTGCTGGCTTTTATACCTTTATATAGAAAATTAGTTTCTTAACTCAAGTTTATATTGGCAGACATGAATATTGACTAATTAATGGCAATTCACCCTCATCTTGCAGTCTATGCTTGTTTTCCTCAAACCAATCAAGTTTGGGATAACTTTCACTCTTGGCAATTTGCTTTCACTTGGAAGGTATGCTGCGTCTTTCAGATTTATAATTATACTTTGATGTTGTTTGGTCATGTCTCTAGTTATTTAGATTTCCATTCACAGGCTTCAAATATTTTGAGAAAGATTGTTGTTATGTTGCTATGGTCAGTAATGAAAACTGTGGGTTTTTTGGGAGGGGGGGGGGGGGGGGGGGGGGGGGGGGGGGGTTGTGAGAGAAACTGGTACCAAGCATAGCATAGATATTTGAAGATAATAACTGATTTTTATTGAATGATCTTTAGAGAAAGGTCCTGAAGTCAGAGATTCAGTCATGTAATTATACAACAGAGAATTGCTAGAGAACTCAGAAACTGGGGACACAGTTACAAGTTTTCCTCCAAGAGTTAGAGAGCTCGGTCTCTCCCTTCCATAACCACTCAATAACTTCCCAATAGTTACTTTCTCATTAACTCTATCATAAAATTTAATTGTCATAAAATTTAATTGAACAGTGACACAGAAAACTGGAATGATCCTGTAAATTGTATTAAGACTTGTGAGTTGTGAAACAATTATAGAACTAGGAACTAAGAATCTGATAGATAATGATCTAACAGCCAACTAGCCAAGATGGCTCCCCTCACCAAGATGAACTTGATGATCTCATTCTTATTCTATAACAGAATTCTTGGATGCCTCCCTCTCACTCCCAAGCCCATTATTATATTGCTAACTCCTCATTCTGTTTCCACGATTCCTGCTGTCAGCTCAGCAAGTCTCTTCCCTTTGTACTGTTTCCTAATATAGACTCTACATACATTGGGCCTAGGCCCTTGGTCACCTAAAGATTGGCTCAATTCACCCTCTACATTCCTATCAAGGTTTAACACGTTGCACGAGGCATTATGTTCCATTACTTCTTATGACACCAATCACAGTTCCAATCCTATGAGGATATTTCAGACGACAATTGGTTACTATAATACTATGGTACATCTAAGGAAAACTATTTCTATATATTATTTCAAATTGTGTCCAGAGCACAATCGCTAATTTATATTTATAGGCTAGATACTAACCAAATAGGTGGACAGTTGGGCCCACAACAATAAATACAAACTTATTCCTACCAATTACAAAAATCATTTACTACACTCACTTCCAACCTAATAAATGAATATCTATTATTCCCAACTTGTAAGTTGACTAAATTGTTACTCCATCCGTTTCAAAATGGTCGTTTTAGCAAATAAATTTTGTTTCAAATTGACTGTCGCTTTCACTTTTCAATGTAGTAATGATTACTATTTTTTCAATTGTGCTATTTACTTTTTACTCTCTACACTAATCCCAATACATTAATAGGGTTAATTTTGTAAAAGTGTAATGTCTTGTGATAATATTATTGTATTCCTTAATTTGTGTGTAAAAACTTTAAACGACAGTCATTTTGAAACAGAGGGTATATGTTGGAGAGCAAATGGTTCAGTATTTATGCAAAAATTAGGAGAAAAAGTTACATAGGGATGTCCAAGACACTTGCATTGAAGCCAAACCTGAGAAGTACCTTAAGAATTGCACCCAAATCGAAGACAGGAAAATAGTGCCTTCTCATTAGAGACATGCACCATCTGCCCCACATCTTTAATAACAATGTAGTATATTCCTCTCTGCTCCTTAGCAATTCAATCATCCGTCTCGTGGCAAGATCCTAAAAAGCACAATGAAAAGAGACAAATGTCATTGCGCACTTTAAGTGCTACACAAGTTTATCTATATAAACAAGATTACTCTAGAGTTTGGGGAAATTTTGAATCTTTTACTTTGTGTGTTATTTATCCTTTAACCTTGGTCTTGTAGCTGTTTGGTTTTCTTCAAATACTAAGTGGGAGTCTTTTTTATGGCAGCACAGCATTCCTCATAGGTCCTAAAAGGCAAGTATCGATGATGCTTGATCCTGTTCGTATTTATGCAACAGCCATATACATTGCAAGTATGATAATTGCCTTGTTTTGTGCACTTTATGTAAGTCAAATTGCATCTACAATAGATTCATTTTTACTTCTGACTGAAAAGACCTTATTTTAATATCTCACTATTTCATTGTTTTGCATTGAGCAGATTCATAACAAGTTACTAACACTTCTCGCGATTATCTTGGAGTTTGGGGCGCTAGTTTGGTATGTTACAATTTTTCCACATGCATTCCATATAACCTATTTTTTATTATAGCACGTTAGTGTGGTGTATGCACACATTAAATTCTCATAAATCTTATGAGGATTGAGGCATAAGGTGTATGCTACATGGCCTGTATGACATTACCATACTGAAATTTAGCATAACGATTTTTCTTATTGTGTAGTATTATTTAATGTGTACTATTATTTACCATAAGGAGTAACTTTTTAATGTTGTTTTATATTTTTCTTATTGTGTACTATTGTTATGAAATAATATAACGACAATAACAAAAGGATAAAAAACAAATTAAATTGTAATGCATGGCATATCAAATAGTTATCCTTTATTTCTCTTCAATATACAATATGATATGATAGCTTTTGAGCATGCAATATGATTATCCAAATGAGACACTATGCTTGTTTCCACTCACATGTGTACAGTGATTTACACTCTCAATAATTCTGGTATTTTGATTGACAGGTATAGCTTGAGCTACATCCCTTTTGCGAGGTCAATGGTTTCAAAGATAATGGTTTCATGCTTTGACACAGAATTTTAGGTGACACTCAAAATACTATGACATCCTCTGTTGAACTGCATTGATTACCCTGAACATACTTGCAATCCTGAAGAATGACTGTCGCGGAAATATAAATGGATAGATTGTGACTCAACCGGGTCTGCTACTCTCTTTTCTTGAGTCATGTCTATGTTCCATTTGTTTGGTTGAAGTAAATTCTTGTGCATTTGTATAATGTTGTCGATAAGCTAATGTAAAGAGTTTTGTTTCTCTCAACTTGGCGTCCTTTGTTTGCTCTTTTTACATTTTACTTGTTTTCAAATGATGAAATCACAGTGGTCCTTTAGGCTAAGGCCGTGTCTCACACAGGACTGTTACAGAGAATAAAAAGCTAACTAAACCAAAACACCAAAGTAAAGCCGGAAAGAACAGAACTGTAACAAGAAATTCAGGAACAAAACCAGTTTGGTTTGTGAACTATTTGATAGTTTGTACTTTCCAACGTGGTTCAGATTATAATTGTGTTCCTATATTTATCACTTTTTTTAAATTTGTAGTCAGCTCTCTAAACTAAAACTTTATGACAGATCTTTGAAATTTCATAGTTAAATTTCCAAACTTTATTGACTAGACTTGACAACGTAACTTGCATTTACGGTAGTTATCTCAACTTGTCCTTGCGTTTAACGAATACACTGCTTTGATCGTGTGCGAGCATGAATTTCTAATTTTCCTAATATTTAAAGTTGGAGTTGGGGTGGAGATGAGGTTTAATGCAATAATTTTTTTTGGAACACCTTATAGAAAACTTGTTGCAAAAAAAGTCTATGGCAACAAATATACGGTGTTTGCAGCTATCTCTATTTTAAAATAACTATTGTTTTAATAAATAAAAATTGTTTTAAAATAATTATTATTTATTTATTATTTTGTACACTAATTTCTAATATATTAATAACGTTAATTTAATAAAAATATAATGTTTTATGATTAATATTTCACTTTACAATGTATGAATGATTAATATTTTTTCAATTGTGTCATTTATTCATTTTTACTTTTCAATGTAATAGTGTTTAATATTTTTTCAATTATGCCATTTATTTATTACTCTATATACTAACTTTCAATATATTAATAAGGTTAATTTAATAAAAATATAATGTGTGTGAAAAAATTTAAACGATAATCATTTTAAAATGGAGAAAGTAATATGCTGTTAGACTATATACTAATTAAAGTTGCTAAGTGCTTGTAGTGAAAAGTAAGAAAAATTTATCCTTTACCCCTACCGTTATCCCCTACTCCAATAATTTTGTAAATATTTCAAATTTACCCTTTGTAATTTCACTTTAATCATTTAACTTTTACTATCTGTCCAAGTCTTTTGAAATTGACTATTATGTACTCCACTTATGCGAACCAGACAACTTGACTTGAAGACATCCTGTATGTTGAATTATTAAACCGGAGAACATAATATCATGAATTCCAATTAATATATATTGCACACCGGATAACATGGTGCGTCGTTATCCAGTTTACAAAAGTCAATCAAATAAATTTTTCATATGTTTTTCGATTATGTTTTTCTACTAATCGGATAACTTTTATCTAAGTTTTCCGGTTATGATTTTTTACTAACCAATTTACTTGCTTCTATGTATTTCAGTACACATTTTTAAATTTTTTTTTATGTTTTGTTAATTTTTTTATATATTTATATTTAATAGGTATGAATATTCTTTTCATGATATGCAATAAAATCAGATATGTGTAGATACCATTGATATATTCTTTACTACACAAAAATTTGCTACACGAGAAGAGGCAACAAGGTGGATTAGGGAGGTTGGAATCAGGAATGAAGTGACAATTATAATAATTCGTTCAGATTCCAAAACAAGAAAGAGAGAAAGAAGTGACAAAATAATATTTGTGGTTGTGATAAAGGTGAAAAATACAAAGAAGGAGACAGTGTAACACAAAGTGCTACTAAGAAATGTGGTTGTCCATTCAAAACTAGGTTAACACCGTCAAAAGATTGTTTTGAATGGAAGATTTATGTAAAATGGGGACTTCTCAACTATTGTTTACCTGATAGATTTGAAGGTCATTCGTTTGTAGGCCGACTACATGCAGATGAACAATAACATATTTTTGATTTGATAAAACGTCACGTTCCACCAAGACACGTGTTATTATCATTGCAAGAACGAAATCTGGAGAATGTTACTCAGATCATGCAAATATATAAACATAAGAGTAAGCTAGAGAGAGATATTAGGGGTCCTAGAACATAAATGCAACATTTGTGCAAGCTGATAGAAGATTGAAATTATGTTTACTGGAGTAAAAAAAAAGATGAGTCAGAAGTTGTGAGAGATATTTTCTGGACCCACCTAGAATCAATGAAGTTGTTGAATATGTTTCCTATTATGTTGATCATGAAAACCACGTACATGACAAACAAGTATAGGCATTTTCCTCTATGAATGACATTACCAAATATGAGTTATGTGATAGCAAATCGGTATAACGTCATACTCGTCTCTTTGGGTTATCCTAGTTTGACTTTCTTTCATATGACGACTTCACATTCATCTAACATGTCCATTTACTGTATTGAGTTTGTAAACTAAAATCATTAGATTCAGGTAGTTAAATATTCATGTTTGTTAAGTTAATTACATGTTTTTTATTTGGGTCTTGCTAATCAGTTCCCTCAGGGCTCTCTTTAAGCATTCTAAAAAAACAATATTTTATAAGAAATTTAACCGTTTCAACTTCAGAGACATTAAATACGCAGATTTCCAAGAAAAATTTACTATTTTAAGGTCTTAAAGAGTGCCTTGAGGACACTGTTAGCATTTCCCTTTTTATTTACGTTGTTCTTTTTTTATATTAATTTTCTAAACAGGTAAACATGGTTGAAAGATTTTCGTTACAAGCAATCACATTGGATTGGAAGTAATTTCGCACACCAGATACAAGTCCTTGGATGATAGGATTTATTAGACGATTACAATATTGGAAACACCTTACGCCTGTAGTGCCATAATATGTTAGATTATAATTGTAATCTTATTGTTATATTTTGGATTATATTGACAATTAACTTCATTTTATGTTAAACTCATGTTATATTTTGAATTATATTGCATAAGTCTTAAAATAGTAAAAAAGCATCAAAATACATATGTCTCAAAATACATAAGTCTTAAAATAGTAAACATATTTCATAAGTCTTAAAATACCACATAAGTCTAAAAATTAATAATGCATCATCCTCCTCATCAAAATGAGGTACTGGTCCGCCCTAACCTACACATAGTGATCAAAACTTCTCAGTGAAGTCATCACCCTCCTCATCAGCCTCGTTGCGATGTAAATAACGATGAAGCTCATGTGAAATAAATGATAACCTCATATTTGATAATATTTCATCATAGACAGGAATCAGGACTTCTCTCACCTCCTCCCGACGTGGTGGTATCAAACAAGGATATGACACCCTATAATACCAATAAGAGTAATCATCGACCATGTCATATAGGGTGGTAGCAAAAACTTTCGGACATATCACATCCATCCTACTCGCATGATATCTAATCCACTCAAAATCCACATCAAGTATGGTAGAATCAGAAGGTGGATGCGGTATGTATTGCCTATCTCCAAACTGATGCATACATCTGTCAGGTAAGTATAATACAATTGTGTCATACCATTTCAAGCTACCATATACAAACATATATCATCAAATGGGCGGTGCACTTTATGATCCTCAAAAGGGCGCTAAATGACATCAACATGCGTCAATACATCCAACACATGCCTAAGCTCATCAACCTTTTGTGCTCCTTTTGTCTGTAAATCCAATTCATCACCCTGGGAAATGGACTACTGCCACCAACGATCCCAAATAATCCTCTATTACCAACAATTGAAAAATACTATGAGTCAAATACTCTTACACAACATGAATACTATCAATTAAAATAATTATAAGTAAATAAATATAAATCAAAATAAAATAAAAATAAAACATTTGTATTTGTAGCATAGAGGCATATCCTCCGAGCAGCTTGCACTTAAAGAAGAAAATATCTCCTAAATATCTATAGAGTGTGACAAGCACAACTACTCCCCAACTATATCTACCACACCCAACCAAGTCCCTAAATAGTGATAAATAATTTGCCTCTACAAGAATAAAAGTCTTGTAAAAAAATGGTGCAACCCACCAACAGTAACATATAGGCTCTAGCAACACATTAAAATCTACTATCAGCTTCCTGATGCACAAATACCTCATTCAACCAATCCAACTTATAATAACCACCCCTACAATTACGGACCTCCTCATTTTCCTCCTCCAAGGGAACACCCAACAGATTAATAGAAAGATTAATAGCACCAACATCAGTGAAACCTTGTGCATGGTTCCAAAAATCACCCTACAAGGTAAATGAAGAAGTCAAGAAACATCGTCTAATGTAATGGTCATATCGCCAAATGGAATATGAAAGGATGATATTTCTGGGTATCATCTCTCTACAAATACTGATACTAAATTTTGATCTATCCTCCAAAAATTGGTTCTCTAGAGAGAGGATAGACTAGAGTCAGACAACCAACTCTTTATCAATGGGGGGAGACTATGTGGAACCCATCCTATCAATTTACTATCATGTGCAACAATCTTTAATTATTTCTTTGGATGTCTCTCCTAAAAACAATTTATAGTTTATGTAATAAAATATAAATAATTAAAATTAAAAATGATTCAACATAAAATGATAGAGATTAACTTACTCTATCGAACCATAAATGGTGAGCAACATGATCCTGGTATCTAACCAGAAGAGACGTATCGTACGTCCCCCTGGGGAACAGCGGTTGCTGTAGACCAGGCTCAAGTGCGACTATCTGATGTTCCTCTCTATCCATCGCCTATCTAGGTTTTCATCCTTCACCTTTTCGTCGAATAATATTCATGTTCTGACCTTTCTTGCGCACTATTAAAAATAACAAAA